GTTTAAGCACCGGCACCGTTTCAAAAGTACCGGTTTGGCACCGGTATCGGATAAAACCTAAACGATACCCATCCCTAGTCATGTTCCTCTCTAAGATTCTCATATTCAACAGTTGTTGCAGACAACCCATTGCAAGAAATTTCAGTTGCAGGGTGCATGTTTCTTCACTGAGACAGCACATATAAAACAAAAGAGCACACTCTTCTACACAATGATGTTTTCCACCTTTTGTATTAATCTGCACTGGCTACTATGAGCTGCCAAAACAAAAAACTTTGAAACAAAACTCAAATGCAGTTTCTGTTTTCAAGCTGCTGTGCAGTTTGACATGTGTTCTCCGTATATCTGCTCTAACAGGGTCTGTGGATAGACTGAGGCTACTCATTAAAGTTTTTTTTTTTTATTAGAGATCTTGTTTCAGCAAGAGTGAGCCTGAACCTTAAAGGCAAAGTAGGAAATAACAAACTGGAGTTAACATGATGACAAATTGTGGGGGCCAACATGAATGACAGAGTCTGCTCATCCAGTAGATTAAGGAGTTAACCTTGGGGCAATTTTATAGCCTGATTTAGATCTGTGTGACTTTGCAGCGGAGAGGAATAAGACGTGGCACTGCAGAGAATCTGTTCTTATTTGTTGACTCCATTGATATCCTCGGGAACCAGGCCTTCCATGACAGCATGCTTAGACTCCAGGATCTGTAAGAACCAAAGAGAGAGCAAAATAAAGCACACTGCCATGCTTGCTTCCTTCTCCAAACACAGCATGCACTCAGTAATCTCTTGTGTAGGTACACCTGTATTAACAAAATTCTACATTTAAATAGTCTTTTGTGGATGCATTAAATTGTATGTTTAAGAGTTTAAAGAAATATCTAACTATAAAACTACAGATATGATAGTGAAGCAGTTACCTGGAAGCTATCACTGAGGCCAGTGATGCTTTGCATGTTTGTGCTGTAGTACCCCAAAACGTACTGTCCACCTAACAGAGGAATCTGACCTTTATCCACAGAAATCTGCAACAACACATATGTGCATGTTAATGAATAATGCATTCATAAAGAATCTGTTAATATGACATAAACGCTGCACTTCTACTTTACCTGTATGACTTCATTTATCTCTGGCAGTTCATTTTCTCGAACCCAAACAAAGGTTTCATAGTCAGACGCAGTCTTAAATCCCACCTGAAGCGCAAGACAGTCAGTCCAAATCCACACAATTATAATATATAAGGTTTAAATGATTTATTTATTGATTTTTGTTGTTTTTACATGAGTCCTAGTACCTTGTACAGGCCAATCCAGTCCCACGTAGAAGACATAAAGTCCTCCAGGACAGAGTAGGTCAAAAGTGCATCCTGGCCTGCGCTCCATATGCCCACAGGAGACACTCGCACCAGTGGTGTGTCAAAGACTTTTCTCAGCTGCGGGAAAGATAAGAGAAAAGAAAACATTTTTAAAGAACGTTTGAAAAAGCAGAGGTCTATGCAGTGCATCTGCTCTCACCTCCAGGCTGAAGGTTGCAATGACAGGCTTGTGGTCACTGACTCCATAGCTCATGTCACTTGTGTATTTATCCTGGGTGACCAGGACTGGATACTCATCCTGTTCTTCATCTGTGGAAGTTGATGCCTTCTCATCATCTTCCTCTGATGGCAGGGGCTTGGGTTTGATGCGCCAGAGGATCCGGTCTGTCCATGCCGGCTTCCTCTTCTTTCCACTGAGAATAGAATAGAAGAACAGAATAAAATAGTTCTTTATTGTCATTGTATATCTACATCGAAATTATGGGTGCGCCACGCCGAGCATAATGAACATGGCTGTTGATTTTACAACTTCTATCTAAAAATTTTTTTTTTCTCTATTGCTTACCCTTTAACACATTTACATTTGTCTATCCATACAAATCTACATACTAATTCTTATGAAAAAACAAGTGCTGTTAAAGAATGCAAACCAAACACATACACATGCAGTACAAGGCTATACCTATAGTGTAGCATGCGTATGAGAAATGATGTAGGTTACATGCTAAGTAGCAGATAGTACCATTAGCAGGGTATTACAGCTTATGCACACACTGATTTGCTGTGAAAAGCAAAATGTGGATTACACCGGAACAAAAAGAGGAAGGAGTGCAAACAGTGGGGTGCTGGGTGCAGAAGGGAGTTCTGGTCTAATGAATATGCAGAACATGTCTGCCATTTATCAGTCATATTATGCTTACAAAACCCATTTGAATCTTGTTGCTTATGCCAGTGTCTCCATACACTTTGTGAATGTGGGTTATATCTAAGTAACCCTCAAGGTGCCTATCCTATACACAGGACCGAGACACCCACCTAGGCAGATCTAGCATCCAGAACCAGGCCCCCAACCATTCAGAGAGGAGCACCCAGGTGAGAGACGTGAGGAGCAAGAAGAGGGTGGTGCCACAGAGCTGCAGGGGCCTGGGTCTGTTTATTGTTAGGGAAGAGCCTCTGTGCTCTGGATATGAGTCGGAGAAAGAGCTGCTACCTTGTTCATCTATAAATCAGGTTTATAGATGCCATGGCTGCTTTGAGCTTCCATTTAGCGTGTCTTGTTTTGCTACGACTAAAGATGTGGTGGCAAAAGCTGATAAAGGAATGTGGGGGATGCAAAACACAAAATAATTCTTACTTTAAACCCAACCATGTCTTTGGAGTGCTGTGCAATATTAAAATGGAAACGAGGACACAAATAAGGCTTACAAAATTTGCCGATCATGTGTGTGTAATACAGATTTTTTAGCATGTTACCTGGTGTCATAGGTGTCGGAGTTACGGTCAAACTTGTAGGTGGGTTTAAAATTTAACGGTCCCTCCTCAAATTCCTGCAGGAAAGCTTCCTTCTTCTTCATCATGATGAGCTGCAGGAAAATGAAAATAATGAGCAAGCGTGTGTTATTATGTGTGTGTGTGTGTCCTCACACTAGTACAATACCTGGTCTTTGCCCCACAGCAAATTTAGCCGGCCGCTGTTGATGGATGAGCGGAGAAAGTGCAAACCGTGATCTGCGATGCGGAAGTTCAGATCACCAAACCAGAACACCACCCTGTGAAAAAGCCGCAGAGCCACATTTTACTTGCACAGCAGCCCATGTTGCGTATATGCATAGTATTTGTGTGCCTCTGTGAAGGAATCCTGACTTGTGGTCCCGGATTTGTGGGGTGTCATAGATGTCAAAGTCTTGCGTCTCCAGTATGTACTCAAACTCGTCAACGCGCTGCAAAGCGTTGTTCATGTGAGCAGCTAGGTGGCAGTTGAGGAAGCAAATCATGTGTCCATAGAAGGAAAAGCGCACAGACACTCCTCCTTTGTTACCCTAACACAGACACACACAGGAGAACAAATACAGTCTGTGAAGAAGACTAATTATAAAAAAAGTATCTCTTTTAACCTGGATTATGGATTAGACACAAGTTTTCTATCCCAGTGTTCTGACTGCTTTCAGTGTTCTTTGTTTGTGATTTCTTTCTGTCAAAGCTGCTGCACATTTCACTAAACAAACACAATGGACCTTTCATGGTGCGTTTAAACCCTACAGCATCTGATGCCAATGGGATTCCTGGTGTGCACACAGTGTGGTTGTCTACAAGGTTCAGGGATAACCAGAGCTCCCATTCTAATTTCCTACCCAGTAGCCAAACACGCCGGTCCGAGTGTAGGTGGTCTGGATGTTTCTGATGTAGGGAAGATGAATCTGTTTGGCAAACAGCAGCAACAGCAAACCCTGCATCCTCACTGACGTGACCTAGACACAGATGGAGACAGTAAGATTGTATTAAAGTCAAAGTCAAAGTCCAAATTATTTATATAGCACATTTAAAACAACAACTGTTGACCAAGGTGCTGTACAATTAGGGTAATTAAAAGAAATAAAAACATAGGGAGATACGATAAGAGTTAAGAAAAAGAATCAGAAAATTATTAAATGTTGTAGATTATGCAGCGTTTCTTTTTCTTTTCCTCTTTGAATCTCAAACAGTTTAACTGCAACAGTATAAAAATGTATGTAATAATATATTTTATGTCTCTTTTATGGATGAAAGAAAAATACAGGAGATTAAAGAGACACATGAAGACAAATATTTCTCCTTTTCCTTCTTCTGTCTTCTCCGACCTTGACAAAGCCTCTGGGTGCCAGTGAGTTCGTGAAGACATGGCTCCAGGAGTCTTCTGATATCAGATCTGTGATGAACCTCACTGGGGTGGCATTTACCTCCTGAAGGCTAACACACAGAAAAACAAAAAGAGACAAGTAATGACAGTCTAATGTCTTTGATTCCACTCCTGTGATTCATTATGAATATATATATATATATGTATATATATATATAGATTATTAGCAACATTTGAAACTCGACTGTCAAAAATGTTATTTCTTACCCAATCACATAGAGATCTGGAGGCGGCTGGGCATCTAGTTGGAGCAAAGAGGTGGCATCTTCAGAAGGCTCTGCTGTGGCCACATTCCAGGTCACAATGTGGATCCTTGTGAGAAAAAACTCCCAAATATTATTTACAACGCTACAAAGCTATACACTGTGCATGCTCAACAGTTTGTGTCCTCAAAAAGAGCAACACTTATACCATAAAAATACAAAAAAAACCCAACCTTGATAACATTTACTTTTCCAAAATACACACTTTTGTAATCTTACAAGTTAAGTGGAACCCACTAAGAACCACAGATTTTATTTTCACAAATACCACTTTAAGAGCCTATTGATCATTTCTGCACTTTTTGATATGAACTATATTAGTTGCTATGGTATGCCTGTTTCTTCATGATAAATCAAAGTTTGAAGTGATTTTTCTTTTACAAGCTTTTTAAAAGCCCAAAGTGTTAAAGTCAACCTGAATGCATCTGTGGGAATGAAGCGTCCACAGAGCTGAAATGCTTCTTCCAGCGTGCGTGACACCTCTTCACTGGCTTCGTCGTCAGAGCTCATGTCCTCGATGCAGGTCAGCAGCTGGGACAAACGCTGGCGAAGAACCGTCTTCGACTTTGAGCCCTGAGATGCCGAGCTGCTCGTGCTGTCCGAGCGCACACGTGGACTGTCTGTTAAAAGTTCCATCTTTGAAGTTATGCCTTAAAAAAGGGTCTTCCCAGTGTATGTGACGTAGTAAAGTTCAGGAGGTTCTTCAGTGCACAGCAGTATTGAAAGTAACTACTTAAAATAAACATAAAGAAAGAGGGAAAATCCTACGGAAGACAGACCTTTGGCTTGACTTCTCCTCAGACTTCTGTGGTTGGGATAGTTGTAGCCATCTGATGCGAGAGGCCACCGGTCCCTTTGTCCACTCGACTGAGAGTAATATGAACTGATTCCTAGTTAGTCAAATCTCTCTCTGCATGTGCTTCAGGCAGTTCTTCTTTAAAGTCCTCCAAAATAGCCAAGTTGAACAACTGAAACGCCGAGGGTGACGGTTGCTGGTGGAGTCCTTTCTCTGGCAGAGTCTTGTGTGATCTGGCTCCGATGGAGCAGCGACTGACAAAGCAGTAGGGTTGACTCGGGAAAGCAGGCAAGAGTGAGTCCGATTTGGAGTATAATCGCAGGCAGGAGACAGGCATGTGAACTTGTGCGTGTGTTTTGCTGTGAGTGTGTGCAGCCAAAGAAAGTGTAAGAGGAGGCTGATCCTCCATCAGTATTGCTGCAAGACCTGGGCAAACCTTCAGCTTTTCTAAGAGGTTTACCACCGCTATTCTTCATCAGCGGAGCACATAGAACAATGCATGTGACCCACAATTACACCCATGCACTGGTGACGAGAGAAAATATCAGCTTTGGCTTCTTCTGGAGTAAATCTGGGCTCTTATTATATAGACAAAAGGTTATCTTTGTAAACTGGATAGAGGTCGGAGAGGAGTTACAAGCAGCTTTAGACTGACACACAGTTTTATGACAAAAATGCAAATCATTCTGATTATCAAGTGTTACAGCACACCTAATAGATGTGGAGCAAATTAAGCAATCATTAAGCAATCTGCAGCTGCGGCGCTTTTTGCCTAATACTTAAATGGATTAAAGATTTAAAAAGTGAGATAATTATTTAATTCCTAAAATTTTAACATCTAATTAGCCACTAAAACACTTTTCTTTGCAAAATGACTCGATTAGAAACCGCTGGATATTTCCTTACACAGGACTTAAAATGATCCTGAACTAGACAAACAAGTTTTTACTTTTCTGAAGCTAAAAGTGAAACTCAATTTGCTATTAAATTCTAAAAAATAACGTGCTGATTGTTGTGTGTTACTGAATAAGTGTATGTAGCTGAATGGTTTATTAATGGCTGTAAAGCAAAAATAATAAAAATATTTGGATGCCTGTGGAAAATACGAAGAAATGGGGACAGGAATAAAGAAAAGTATTTATAATCCTTGGTGTCCCAATCCTCCCTTTCAGTTCATGTAACAGTGTCACATGCAAAGACTTAGGGCAAATTCTTTAGCAAGCAGAGGTGTTAAGTAGATAATCAAGGGGCCCACTGGTCAGAAATGATGAATAGAATACTATTTAAGTTTTCTCGCAGATCTATTAATACTCAGATCCAGCAGCCACAAGTTACTTATAAAGATTATGAAACTGATTATGAAATGCAAGCTGGGAGGGTTACTTTCTTTTGTTTTACTATCTCTACATGTGATCTGTGCTTTCCCTCACATTTATTTCCATCTCTGACTTTGTTCCTACCTACTTTGTATCCTTTCATTTACATTAGGAGACAAAGACAGAATTGTGCTGGTCTTACCTGCACTTGTCTGTTCCACCCCTGCCGGTGTTCATTTTCTCCCCTGTAGGCACACATACACACAGGCTTGGGAAAAATGTAAGCAAATAGAAATGCCAGGCGCTTTATCCTTACTACATTCAGTTTGCTGGGAGCATAGACCAGAGCCGGGCAAAAATAACTAAACAGACAAAGCCAAACCTGACAGGGATGCCCCGGAGTCATTTCTCAAATTGCTTTTTAATCACGTCTAATCATGGTTAGCCTCGGCCGTGTTAAAGTGACAGTGCCCTGAAGATCACATGTAAACACAGGAAGACTTGAGAATCATTTTTGGACATATTTTAAATAAAACTTTATCAAAAATGCTGTAGAAATTATTTGACTTTTTAAAGCTAATTATAAATAGTGGGTGCAATGCATATTTGTTGCCGTTGGCTGCTCTGGCCTTTGAACTAGTTTTAAAGTAAGTAAAGAAAACAACGACAATGTCCTGGACTTGTGACTAGACTGTAACAGCAACACCTTGTCCTGTTTGTGTCAAAATTGTCTAATAACTGTGGCTTTGTTATGATAGCTTAGATTATTTGTTTTTCTGGGTTTCTTCCTCACCACCAACCCTTGCTGATGGCTGTGATTGGACACATTAAAATTAAATTCAACTGAATTTCATTTGGCCACTTGGGGGCAACAATGTGCACAACAAGCTGCACGCTAACATATTTGTTATGGCTAACACTCTTTTAGCAAAGTAGTTGATGGTAGTTCATATAGATATAGATATTAGTCTACTGTTAAACTGGCAATATGACTACCCACATAACATATGTAAGTCCAGTGTCTTTACATTTTATCTCTTTTATTTTTGTTGTGCTCTTCTTACCTGGCTAACTGTTTAGAACATTAGCCAAATTAGCTAGTGAGGTCAATTTCATCGTATATCAGTGTAGATATTAACCACAATAACAACTTGTCACAATATAATAATCGAGGCTATGACAATATGCAAATTTTTATCAAAGAAGAAAAAAATACAATTTAAAAGGCAGAAATTATTTTATTTAGTCTTCTATTCTAGTGTCAACTTTTGTTATCGATATTATTTAATTTTAATTATGCATCAATTAAGTTAGTTGTTTTTCACTGACAAGTTTTTTGTTCTTTATAACAATGTTACTAACTTCTGTTTTCTTTACCCTTATTATAAGCCCCTCCTTGAAAAAGTAACGAAGTCCTAACTTTGGTATTTTAAATTGACCAGTGATTGCAAGAGAAACAGATTGTTGTGCCGTATTCATACTTGCCAACTGCTAGTGTGTTTTAACAAAAACCCAAAAAATAAAAAACCCCACGCAAACAAGTTACTGAGATCGTTTTGCCTTATGAGAACAAAAGCATCCCTCTGTCTAACTAAACCATTACCTTTGTCTGTGTGTCTGTCTTGTGGTATCCGGAAAAGCAGTAGACGCTGTGTGCACAGATGACAGAGATGTCCAAAGGGAATCTGTTTTCCTGTGGTGAGGCTGGTTTGACTGTTTGATACTGTTTTTGGTTTCCTCACTTTGTTCTCAGCTGCTCCCCTCCTGGGTGCAAATTCCCACACACAGCCCACGCTGGACTTAAGCGTAACATCGGATCAAGCTATTATCCCAGGTTGGTTAACAACCCAGTGAGAAAGTGTTTATGAATAGACATGTCTGTTTATTGACATAAACAGGCATTTCCTTCACTAAAGCCTGCTTTGTATGAAACAATCCTTCATTTTCTTAACAGTATGGAATGTGAAAGGTGCTCTGCATTACACATTAAAATGCTACTTTATAAGGATTTTATTGACTGCGTAATGCTTTAATTATGGGGATTCATTCTGTTATTTTTGTGGTCTTGCAGGATGGTTGTGCATGATATAAATAAGCCATCTATAGGAAGAAAGAAGAAAGGTTATCAACAGAACAGACACAAAGATTAAAACAAACAAAATCACAACATAAAACTTGATTAATACTTTCTGATCTTTAGATTCAAGAACCAAAATAAATTTTTCATTCATATTTCAACTAGTAAGCTCAGTTTTCTTTTTACTGATAAGCTAAAATATCCTCAGTGGTTCATTAGTAAAGTCAAATATTCCCTCTCAAACATCCATACACTGTGTAGTTTCATCACCATCTAACAAAATATGTAGCAGCTCTCAGCCCCAGCCCATCCTCTGCCTCATAATCAGGATTTAAAGTAATCTTTGCCACAAAAAGCCTGATTAATTCTACCCTGCCTACAGTGTTTGTGTCTGTATGTGTGTGGTGTCTGCTGTCTGTGTGTTTTATAGGTCCACCAGGGGCACCAAAGAATAATATTCAAAAGTCATACTTTGTAGCTTTAATTAACATTTGATGATTTCAACAACTGTTTTGATTTATTTTGCTAAGGCAAGTCAATGTTCATTTTTTAGCTTATATTTGAACCGTTTTTTGACTGTCTGTCTGTCACTTTTCCCTTGCATTTAGGAAACATACATTGTCTTCCATGTTTAAATAATCTCACACCGATGACATCCATTAAAAAAAAAAAAAAAAAAAGCATTCACATCAAACTTATGTACAGTTGCTTTGTTTCTTTTTATTTAGTTCTTTATGTCTCCAATGTACAGTAGTGTTATTAGAAGATAAAATGACAAAAAGGCACAAATTCACAATAAAAGAAAGAAAAACAGGAGACGAGTTAACAGGAGTGAGAGAGAGAGAGAAAGTAAGAGAGAGAAAGAGAGATTTAACGATTTAAAAACAGTTTGGGATTATTATGGAATCATTTGGTTTCATACTCTGATTATAAATCGAGGAATCTAACAACAGATAACTATGAGATTGTCTCTGTTAAACCACGTTCTCTCACAAGTTTGTAGGTTCAGACTCTTAAAAACATCAGTATCTGTTCTCAAACAACCACATATTTTTGTCCTTTCTCATGTGTAGCTTTAAGCTCCAACACTCCAGCACCCAGTTGAAGCTGCTCCGAAATGTAGAATAATTTCCCCTCGATTCCCCCACTGCTAACCACAGGAGGGCAAAGTCTAACTCGTGCCCCGGCGTCACGAAGGGCCGACGCCATCAGCTAATTATGTGGATCAATGAAGTGACCCAAGCTGCCGTTCCTTTGCAGAGAGAAGTCAGTGTAGTTCAGAGACTGACAACAGAGGTACAACATTCAGAACAAAAATATATATTTATACACTGTCCTGCCAATGAGATGTGGTACCTGTGAGGGAATAATGAAAGACAGGAAATAGTAAACAGGCTCTTTTCTTATTTTTTCCTCCAAATGTGAAGTGCTGCTTCACTTGAGCAGCCTAAACATCTATAACAATATGTAAGAATGCCTTTTTATGACTACAGTTGACAATATTCCTCAAAATGTCTTATCACTACTAAATTCAGCAACTAGAACTCAACATTTTCTGATCCTGTGGCCAGCGTGGGGTGTGTAATGCTGAGTAGATAGCGATTAATTAAGAGGATCAAGTGTTAAGAGGTGTGCTGTAGGCTTTGGCAGGACAGTCTGATCTATATATATGTGTTCATCTACAATAATTTATTTACTATTTACAAAGTCAGTACATACAGTACATCCACAAACCTCCATGAATCAGTTGGTAGCCCCATCACAGACACTGAGTGAGACACTTGATGGACACAGAGGTGCAGGGATTGAATATCCAGGGCCAGTGTTTTGGAGTCAAAGAGGAGGCAACAGAAAAATGTTTGCCACGATGGCCTTATTCAAGTAATCTGGCATATGCAAACATAAAAAGATCAAACATTATCCTTTTAAAATTTATAGTTCACAAGGTTGATAATGATCCTCAGAACAGTCCCTTTTAATAATTCATCAGTAATGTGTGTGCACATTAGATTAGGCTCTAAGACAATGCTCAAATGTCTGTCAATCATTTGCTTTACCTTTCTTGTTAATTAGGGTTAGGGCTGAGCCAATTCAGCTCCACGTTTCCCTGTAAACTGAAAATCTGAATCTAACCAGATTCAGCGTAATAGTCCTTTAGATTAATGTAGCTTGACATGAGAGTAACTTCTGGAAGTCTTCCAGAAAACCTTTGCATTTTTAAGAATTTCTGCAAATAACTTATCCTAATTAAAGAGTCAATGGAAGAAATAATTCTTGCAATGCTTGGGACAGACGTCATTTTGACTGACGACAGTACTTGATCGATACCGTTTTTATTTATTAATTGCAAATGAAAAACCCAATAGTGAAATTGATATTTATACTACAAAATTCGGTAAGTATGCATTATTGTACTTTAGTAATGATTGTGCATAAACTAGAAAAAATAGGCTTTATTTATCTGTTATTTTAAAGTTTCTAAATTATTTTACATGAACTAATATTAGCTTGTTAGTGCAAAATGTCCATAATCATTTTCTTGTCTCGTTACCTGTTGCTTTCTCTTTAAGCTTTCCATACGGTTAAAACATGTGCAGGATGTGAAGTAGATGACGTGACAGAAGGAAGGCAAAGGAGGCCAAACAAACACCAGCAAGAACAAAAACAAAACAGTGCCCGCTGTAGCTTAATTCGTTCCTTGTTTGTAACTAGGATCAACTTTCTACAAAGACACTCACTACCCTGCATGACACATTCACACTCATGCATACACCCAGAAAAATCCCCTCCAAAACAAAACACAAATTTAAATAACAACCTTTAGATCCCACAAGAGAAATCAACCCATGCAAAGACAATAAACATGGAATTTAATGATGAGTAAGCAACTTGAGCCCTCTTGAGTTGAGGCGCTCCAGTTTACTAAAACTGCAATGACCAAGGAGAGACCAGCGTGTCATGATAGTTATTGCTATTGCTGGATAACACCATTTATCCACTGAAGATGACACAACGGATGACAAGGCAAGACCTGATGCAGAATGACAGCACAGGTCACCAACAGAAGAATAAAAAAAAAGACACAGGCCTACACTTGTTTATGACTGTTCCAGTTGTCTGCTCTATATTTTTTATTTTGCAGGGTGACACATTTTACCAGCACCCCTCTCAGCTATTGCTCTCTCTGTATTTCTATTTATATGCATAACTGTATACTTGTATTCAGACACAATCTTCAATTACGGCAATTTCGAGCACCCCGAACAGCCAAATGAAACTGGGGAGGATCTGCTGAAAGAGGCATGAAAAGTACAGCTGAAAAACTTGGTGACCTAGCAATGTTACAAAGACACACACCACTAAGCCCTGCCACAACCACACACACACACACACACACACACACACATATACACATATATACACACACACACACATATACACATATATATACACACACACACACACACACATATACACATATATATACACACACACACACACACACATATACACATATATATACACACACACACACACATACACATATATATACACACACACACATATACATACACACATACACATACATATATATACACACATACACATACATATATATACACACACATACACATACATATATATACACACATACA